CAAGGAAAACCAGAGTGAGAAAATAAGAGGTCTTTAGAACGTGGTTTGTGTGTCCAACACTGTTGCCCAGGCACTGGCAAAGCATTGTAAATGTTTCAGGGGGAACAGGGCCAGCTTCTCAAACTGTTTCAGGCATGTAATTAAAAGAGGCCCAATGGGAAAGGAAAAGGAATGAAAAGACTGGTATGTGACCCATAATACAGTCTTCGCAGCAGAAAGCCACCTGTTGCCACATCTCCTGCTTGTGTGTTCATTACCTTAACCTGCCAAGTGTGGCAGACTGTTTCTGGCAGTCTTTCCCCTTTCAGGTACCTACCATCAAGTCTTTCAACTTTTTTTTTTTTTTTGCCCCTGGGCTTTTTCAAAGCCTCTGTTTATCAGCCCTTGCATACATACAGCTGGAGGTATGCCCAGAAGACATTTATCAACCAAAGAGAGACTGGACCTGGTAGATAAGTGGTCCTACCTCAGCCCCGCCATCCTTCACCTTCATCCTCCTATATGGTTCTTCAGCAGATCCTCAGCAAGATTGAGCCGCGGATCCCCACAATGGTAACTAACTGTATATTTGCCTTTCCTTCCTCCCTGTTATACTTTGCATTTGTATTTTGACTTCCTGGTGTCATCCCCAAGATAAGCTATTGCACCCCAGTTTTTATCTCAGTCTTTGCCTTGGGGAGAACCCAAACCAAGGTGGTCCTACTCATGATAAAGGAGTAATAAGATCAACTGAAGAAGCAGGTTGAAGTTTTAGACTCAGTTGGGTCTGCTTGAAAAGAAGAGTGGACCAGAAAAAAAGTGAGACTATCATACTTATGCAGGAAGAGGGGCGGGGGGAGGAGAGTTTCTGCTATATTTAAGGCCTGCCAAAATCAGGATGTCTCCCTTCTCTGTGCCAGACTATACTTCTTTATCCTTTTTATTGGAATGAGAAGGGCACCTAAAGACAGAGGCCAGCCAAACAGTTTCATTCTCCCTTTATCCCCTATTAAATGCAATGGCAAGAAATGGTCAAATATTCCCATCCATGGTTTGAGCTCTTTACCAAAATTGGGATTATTGGTGGTCCAGTCAGTCCTAGATTCCAAAAAGAAAGATAGTTCCCTTGGCAAGGGTTGGGTAGAGACACATAATTTGATCCACAGCCTATAGCCAAACTCTGGTAGAGCTCCCAGAGCAATTGTTTCAATAAAGGGCTAGGCAAAGGAAGAGGTTGTCCTGATTACTCGCCCATGGTGACATAAATTGTGTATAAATTGCTAGAAATTGCTATAACTCATTCACTTAATGTCACAGCTGTTGGAGAGAAAACAATGGATAAGATCAGCATCCACTTTGCTAGTTTCCCAGATCACTTCCTAATGTTGGACCATGTGTAACATTATATATTTTTGGTGAATTTAGCTAAGTCAAGTCTAGGTGTTAATAAGAATTCCAAGCTAATGTTTATAAAATACAGATCTTAGATCTTAGGTTTATGTTGTGTCTCATGCCCCTAAAATCTTCATAGTAAAATTGTTTCCTGTTTTTGAAGTAAGTGATCAACAACTGTATTGGGTACTCACTGTGTGCTCATCCAGTATGGGCATACCATGGAAGATACAGAAGTGAGAACTTTCTTCAGTTTTAAGCTAGACCTATTGTTGCCAAAAATAAAGAACACATTCCGCAGCTCCCTTGTCTCTATGTATGACCTTGTCCTTCCGACCACTGGAAAATAAACTATGAGAAGGAAGCTGACTCAGCTGGGAAGGGCCCTTTTTTGCTCTCTTGTACTTTTTTGCTCTTTTCAGAAAGATTAAAATGCAGATATGAAGGCTGGAGCTTCAGATGCCATCTTAGACAATAAGGTTACCCTGAGAGTAGAAGACATGCTGAGGATAGTGAAACGGAGGGACAGACGGTCCCTGACAGCATCGTGGGCTGCCATGCTAATCCTGGACTGCCTATCTCCAATTTCATTTATCCAAGGAAGAAATGCTTACCTTGTTTAAGCCACTTTTAGTTTAGGTTTTCTGTTAATTGTAGCCAAATTCATTGCAATTTGTAGCAGACAGAGCTAGGGTCCTGTACCCTGTTTGGGCCACTTTTACCTGTAAGGGACACATCTTCTGTATTAAAAGGTTGCCCGCTGTGTGTAGTCTACAAAGCTAAGTGACCAATTAATTGCTTGAAATATACTAGTTAAAAAAATTATCCCTGAAATAAAAAAAAAAAGAAATATTGTGCAAAAAAAAAAAGAGAAAACTGTCCAAGACTGGAAGATATAAATTTGAACACAGCTGGGATCTGTAATGGGAAATAGGTAAGTGAAACTCTTTGTTGATATTATGAAAGTTTTTCACAATGGAGGATCAGAAGATTAAATCATCATAATATGTGCTAATATAATACAGTGCATTATATTCTAATGCAAAAAGATGGTACAGTGGAGTAGTTTAGAGCATGTGCCTAGGAGCCCTATTTCAAAGTTCATATTCCAGCCCTGTGTGAATTTAGGCAGGTTACTTAATTTCTCCGTTTCTGTAGCTTCATCATTTGTAAAACACAAATACTACTAATACTTTCCTCATAGAGCTGTTATGAGAATTAAAGGAGTAAATATAAATAAAGCACTTAGAAAACGGGCTGGTACATAGAAAGAGCAATTTAAGTCTTTATTATTATTGCTATTGTTATAATTTCCCATCTTAAAACAGAATCCATGACAACAAAAAGGAAAGGTGAGGGTAGGAGTTCTAGCCTGTTTACACAAGTAAATGCTAAGGGCAATGTAAGGCTGCAGTGTGGGCCATTCAATACTTTAAGAGAGGCTTTCAAAATTGTACTTTTATAAACTCTGCTCTGAGGGTAAACCCACAAGATAAGACAATAGATTCCGTTGGTCCCCCACCCCTCACCGATTCCCCTGGGTGTCGTGTCCAGGCCAAATTTTGTGATTTATCATTAAATACAAATTATTAAGTGCAATACAGATTCTTTTGAAATACATTTTGGAAATTATATAGAAGTTGTTTTAAGAACAATTAGAGTTTATTTACTGCTGTCTTTAAGCTTATATGCTCACTGGAGTTCTCAATTAAGCAAAGTTTAGGAGTAACTTTCCAAATCTTGGTCTAAAGCCTTTTGTGGAAACACCCCCATAATCCTTATTTGAATTTATATTCGTAAGCATTTGTATACTCTGTAACTAATTTTGAGATATCTGGCTCTTTAGATTTCTAGGCACAATAAAAGTATGAAAAGTTTCTAGGCTTTCAGTACTCACAGATCTTTCGTTTCTTTCTTCCTTTGGATAACATTTATAATAGAATATTGCAAACTTTGGTTAGTTCTCCTCAGTCTTATTCACTGCGAAAGCTCCTTTCACTGTAATCAATTCAACAAATATTTAATGATCATCTATTATGTGAAGGGGTGTAAGGTTCATAAAGGTGATTTTCCAGTTTGTTATCCAGATTATTATCTCAGTGTAAACTATGGTGCATTTCACGTAATGGGCATTCCAAAAGTATCTGGTGAAGAGATATGAATAAAAGTCTCATACTGAAGCAGTGGAGTTTAGTAGAACCAGCCTAAGTTTTAGATTTTGATTCAAATCCTAGTTTTTCCAATTATTATCTGTGTAATCTACAGCAAGGTGCTTAACGAACCATATTTTTTGGTAAATGGAGATAATATCCATTTTATAAGGATTATAAGAATTTACCAAGGTAATAGTTAATGAAAACTCCCACTGTGTGTATATATAGTATTTTCTACGGACTGTGTTTCAAAATACCGGGCTTTAAAAATTGAATGGATTACAAGTCCTGTTCTTAATAACCTCCCAAATAAGGCAATAAGACAAGTCACAGAATGTTATGGAAATATTTTAAGTGTCAAACTAGGGAGAGATGGAGTGTGTTTGAAGAAATTATGAAAGGAGGTGGCATATGAAATGGTCCTTGAAGGCTAGTTAAAATTTCAACAATTAAAATGCATAGGCATATCCATATTAAACATAGAATCATATGCAGGGAGAAAAAAAGTTTGAGTGTGACTGAAAAAAAGTACCGAGTGTGACTCTTCTGGCAGAAGTATAGAGTTGACACAGGGAAGCTGTGAGAGATACGCAAAAAATGTGGGTGGGGCCGTACTGGTGGGGCCAGTTACTTTACCTATTAAACAATCGGCAACTCTTGATGGTTTGGAGGCAGGCCTATGGAATACTGTAATAGGATTGGAAGGTGGAAGCGCCAAGAGTGGAGAGACCAGTTAGGAGAGGCTATTGCATTATTTCAGGTAAGAGATAATAAGGGCCTGCAGGAGAGGGAGGGCAGAGGGAATGCAAAGACTCTGGAGAGGCATGTTTCATAGAGAATTGACAATACGTGACTACTGCCTCACACTGGCAGGGGACGTGGTGGGGTAGGGGGAGAGACCAAGAGACCAGTCAGTGACTGGAGTCACTTACACGAATGGTTAAGTCCCAGCAAGGTGTTGGTTTAGGTTTTGGACATTGGTCAGTTTGAGGTTTGGGTGGCACCTCGCTGCCATCTTCCCCTTTTTACACCCCTTTTTTCAGGGACACCTCCACTTCTCTCCACCTTCCCCCTCTAAGTAATGGAGCTTTCTATCCTCAACCTGATCTTCGTTTATCTTCACACTTCACTTCTTCTTCTCATAGTATTCTCATTGCCAGGATGACACAAGTCAGGTCCTGGCCTGTAGAATACTCCTCCCGAATTAATCCACCCATTGCGCCAGGGCAGCTTCGAGGCTTGCGCCCCCCTGCTCTTTGACCAATAGGCAGGCCCTAGTGCTGGAACTCGACTAGCTATTGGTTGGCCGAGCCATGGTGAGAGATGGTGCGTTGCTGGATCTCTGCATCCGTGCGAGCTGAGGGAGGTTGTTAAGGCGACCGTTCGTGACGTAACGCCACCAGGCCGAGTAGCCCCCAGATGATTGGCTAGACGATCGGACGATCCTTTCTCATTGGTCTCAGGCTCGGCTGGCTCCGAGCGTGCGTCAGCTGAAGGTTCCTTCCGCTCCGCGTCTCTGTTGACTGGAGACAGGGAAAGCGCCGGCGGTGCCGGTGTTCGGTGACCTCTAGTGAGATCAGGAGGTGAGGCACATAGTGGCCGCGGAGGGGAACCGGGCGGCGGGAGAGGGGCAGCGGTGGGTGGGAGCGGGAGAAGGGCCGTGTTGGCGGCGGTTCTCAAGCTCCCCTAGGCCTTGGGAAGGGACAGCAGACATCTCCTGCGGACCTGGCGGGAGCTGCGGTGGTGGATTTGCGGGTGTGGCAGTCGTGTCTCGCAGGAACTTCGATTTGACGTCCCCGATGCGCGGCCGGCAGGGAGGTGGCCGACACCAATGCCGGGAAAGCCTGGGGGCTAGGCAGGGCCTCAACGGCGGACCGCGGGATGGGGCATCCTTTTCCGGCCCTGTTCGATCTAAGCAGTGCTGGCTGCGCTCTCACGATCCTCTAGGCGGAAAGGGTCGCAGGATGGTGACCCTGGAGACCCTCGATTCGAGAAATACTGGGGGGCTGGAGGGCGACCCAGCCGCAGCTCTCCGAGAGCACGCGAGAAGGTCCCTTTCGGTGCAGTCGTCCACGCCCTGGCGGTGCTGTTCGTCAGCACCTTTTTTTAAAGTGATGTGGAAGGTGTCTGTAAATGATGCAACTAACACAGAGCCATGAGAAAACCAGGGATCTGCATAGCTGTGCCCTGTTATGGCCAGGAGAAACGGGTTGAAAGGATGCGGAGGCCAATGTAGGGAGGCGCCCAAGGACTTTATTTCCTTTTTCTTGTAAGGGGTGTAGTCTCTTTGGTGGTGATGTCTTTTAGTCCAAAACTTCAGGGTTTTCAAAATTACTTGGTTTTAGTTAGGAAAAACCTACCCTGGGTGTTCAGATATCGAACAGTCAGTTTCTGCGGTAGGAAAAGGTTGATGTGTGCTCCATCTTAAGTGATTTATTGAAATGTTTCGCGGCTTGAGGACATGCCTTCTTAGACTTGGTGCTGAAAAGTTACAGGAAACATTGGTTTCCAGGCCATGATAAATAATGTCAGCCTCTCACAACGTAGAGAATGTATTTTTTTTGTTTGCTTGTGAATTTATTTTTCACTCCAAGCAAAGACATTTTATGATTTAGAGAGTGTGCATAGATTGTATTTTAAGGACCTGCTTTGTTGTAGTGTCTTTCCAGAATTTAGGATAAACCTGCCAATAGGGACAAATGGGAGTTAGTAACATAAAGGTTTAAAAAAAAAAAGTGTGAAGATTACATCATTCCATCAAACTGACGCATGGATGATCATTTCAAGATAAAGTGTGTGTGGGGATGGCTGCATTTGCTTTTTAATCTTTTATGCTCTTATTTATAGACCATGGATAATCACTTCTACAGGGTAGAGCGAAAAGTAGGTTTACAGTTGTTCTTATGGAAAATAATACAATGATAAGTAGTAATACCAGAATAAACTCTGTGTTGCCAGCTCACAACTGTAAATCTACTTTTGCCACATCCTGTATATGAATGTCCTTTTACTCATATGAAATTGCTGATATTTGAAGTTTGGCTGTTTTTTACCTACAAAAATAGCAGTTTTTTTTTTTCATATAGTTCTACTTAATACTTTGTCCAAACTTTGTAGCTCTAGCTTTATAAGTGAATAAAGAGGAGAGATGACTTATAAACAGGTAGCATATGATAGAACTGGATGCAGAATCTGGGTTTCCTGATTCTCAGTGCAAGAAACTATCTTTCCCCTAGGATATTAGGTTAAACAACAGATGTTGAATCCTGTTGGAATTAAAAATGGCTCAGCATAAGGCAAGGTGTTTGTCTTCAAAGGAACATAATGTATACAGCAATTAATTTGAGAGCAGTGTAAGCAAGTGTATAATCAAATATTGGAATGTGTAGCACAGGAGAGGTACTGAGTCAAAGGAAAGAATTAGAGCAGGATGCCCAAGCATCCTCTTCTGCAATTGGCTTTTGTAGGTGGTTCCATTAGCATACTGGGTTAGAGTTTGAATTTAAATTATCCATTCTTTTGAAAAATTTTGTGAAATGCTTATATCATACTTCATTCTGAATAAGCAAGGAAAATAGATTACCTGTTCAATACGATTTTTAAAGTAAATTTTATTTTTGTTGCAGCATGACATAAATATCTACCCATTGAATTTGTCCAAGCCCTTCTGTAGCCTGTTAGGGCCACTTGCAACTGCTGATGAAAGTGGAAGATTTGATTCCATGGCACTTAAATGCTTTGCAGCATAATCCCAGAGATATGGGGAGAGTGCTTGCTCATGAGAAATGAGTTTATAGTTATGGTTATTTTTGTTACACCTTTGTACATTCCTTTACTCAGTTTCTGTTTCCAAATAAGTCATGTTCTCTGTGCTGGGGTATAGTTCACAGGATCACGTGTAATTTTTTTCCTGAATGTTGCAAAGATGACATAACATCCAGGAAAGAAATGTCACAGAATTTACAGGGCTACCATGAGATCTTTTTGAGGGAAAATATAATGTGCCTAATTATAGAACTATAAGTTAATAATGCTAAACTGATTTGTGATTAGATTGGGGTACCTTCCTGCTAGCAGCTCAGATTTTATTTCAACTGAATTAATTTTTTAATGGTGAAGGATATGTTGATCTAAATTGAGGGGTTTTGGGAGAAGAAGTGTTAGAAATCATTTTAACCTAGTTTTGAAATGTGTTTTTAATGAACTCATTTTCTGGAACATTGACTTCTTTTGATTCTTTAGACAGGTCTATGGGGTTTTTCAGTTTTGTTTTGTTTTGTTTTTTAATTCAAGAAAGAAGTTATGTGACAGCGAAGACCATCATGAAAAGCAAATCTTTTGTGAGGCTTTTGGTTGTAATGAAGTAGGGTTCAAATCTGAGATATGATTAATACTCTCCAGTACTGTAAGGCCAAGTCCCTGCTTATTTAATAATATTAAATATTATTATTTATAATTATAAATAATTATAATTATATTTAATATTAAATATTAAGAAAGTATTTTTGTTAGTGCTTATTTCCCAGAATACTATTGATATATACAATGTTGCCTCACTTCCCCACCTCATCTCCATTTAATATATTCCTTGAATGCTCCACATTCAGCCTTAAATTGGGGAACCAGAGGGGGTAGGGTTATATTTATATCTTGGTGACTTCAAAAAAAAAAAAATCTTGTCCTGGCTGGGTGGCCCAGTTGATTAGAGCATTGCCCATACACCGAAAGGTTGTAAGTTTGATCTCTGATCAGGGCACATACCTAGGTTGTAGGTAGGTTCGATCTCTGGTTGGCGTGCATTCAAGAGGCAACTGATCAATGTTTCTCTCTCTCCCCCCTTCCTCTCTCTCTAAAATCAAGAAGCATATCCTAGGGTGACGATTTTTTAAAAAACTAATCTTTAGGTTTGTTTCAGGATGTGTCAATAAAAGGCATGTTGATGTAGTTTAAGAATACATTTTTAATTAAGCAGGTATTTGTTGAGCAACTGCTATATATGAGTGCAAGTGCTGAGGATAAAAGAGTAAGACTGGGGGAAGGTTGAAAAAGCATGAATAAACACAGGCAGATGCAAGGCGCAGTTATGTGTCTTAGTGACTACCGGCTGTTTAATATGGAGGCCCATAGTATGAAATATATGGTATGTGTAGTTTCATGAAACAGAAAGTTTCAAGAAGTAAGTTCTTACCCACAGCTATTTTTTCTATTTTATTTTATTAAAAAATTTTTTTTTACTGACTCAAAAATTTTTTTTATTGACTTCATTATCTAATTGATCCAGTGGCCTGAACACTGAAAGCCAGATATCTAGCTGGTGGCCTTGTATGGTTGAAGTGTCGAGAACATAGAGGAATGCAGTGTGAGATGATTGCTTTGGTTTCTTTAGATAGATTTGGTGTCTTTAAATAGATTAATGCTTTCTTTACCTTGATTTGCCTTTTTACTTTTTGTCTTCAATGAATGAATCATCTTCTTAGTTATTATCATAAATGTGAGATTCATTTGAATTCTTATGAGTGTGCTAGTGTGTCAATCAGCTTACTTTTTAAATCTTAATTGATTTTTTATGGGTAGTTTATATGCTTTATCATAAGCATATTAATTTTAGAGTAAGGAGTAAGACTTGTAAGTTCCTATGTTAGAGATCAATGACTATTAGATTTTTAAAAAACCAGAATATCAAAATTATTATTATTCTTTAGCCAGCAAACATGGGGAAGTTTAGTCATGGCAGTCTAGATCTAAGTTACCTGTGTGTTCTGTTGGGAATTTTTGGATGCTATAGACACCTACTTTGGTCAGCCATCCTCTTTTTCAAATAATGTTCTAGCATTTTGATGAGCTATAAAAGTTTGGGAAAAGGCTTTTCTCGGGTGACAGCAACGTTAGGAAAGTTTATTAAACATCATTTGGCTGGTGACATTATGCCAGATGTTGAATGGAATGTTAAAGTGTAATGGGCCTCTCCCTTGAGGAGCTTTATAAACTAAGATAATTTATAGGAGGTGTCCCAGAGTAGGTTCTTTGGTATTTACTTTTTACATAATGAGAATGTGGAGAATGAAGAGGGTGTTATATGCATTTTACATCAGGGTAATTAAAAAGAAATGAATAGTTGTTTCTCACTTTTGTTTTCTGCTTTATTGCTCTCCTTGGCTCAGGTAATATCAAGGGCTGAGATACTTATTTGATTTGATTTTAAATGCTGGAATTAATACAATTTGTAAGAAATACCTGCTTTTAAGTTGGTTGCTAATGAATAATAGAGGATGTAAGTGTTGTGAGTAAAAAAGTAGTAACAGAGTTCTCTTATTTTGATTTTATAATTATCTTCCAAAATTATAAAGAGCACTATCAAATAGTGTTATTCATATGTACAAGACACTGCATACTATAGCAGGGTTTACAACAGTCTTTTCCTAAAAATACAGTGAACTGTATACTAATTGTTCATACTTGATATTCCTTCCAGGATCCAAAGATTCTGAGTAACAATGTTGTCAAGACTTTTCCGAATGCATGGCCTCTTTGTGGCCTCCCATCCTTGGGAAGTCATAGTGGGGACAGTGACACTGACCATCTGTATGATGTCCATGAACATGTTCACCGGCAACAATAAGATCTGTGGTTGGAATTATGAGTGTCCAAAGTTTGAAGAGGTTTGTGAAATTAATTTAATATTAGCATAAACAAATTACATTTTCAGTTTCTAACGAGTATCTTTTTTAAGAGATTATATAACCAAAAAAGTTATGAGTAAAATATTTTAGTATTTGTAAATTTACTTCAAATTTTCATTTATTTATACAGTATGGAAATGCGCAAAAACACTTGTTTTGCCTTTTTGTACATAAATGAGTGTAATTGCCTCTACTTGAGAAATACAGCTTTTATAATTAACAGTGAATGTGATTAGCTTAAACAATGGATTGTTTAAAAATGGGTTTAATTTTTGATTTGCACATTTAGTGGTTTTACTTGTATTATGCCTACATTTATGTTAAAATAATATGTAAACTGATGATGCATACAAAATAAAAAATTTTATTTTTTATTGCTTATTTTAAAAGCTATAACTATTGTGATTTTTTTCTCTCTCCCAATAGGATGTTTTGAGCAGTGACATTATAATTCTGACAATAACACGATGCATAGCAATCCTGTATATTTACTTCCAATTCCAGAATTTGCGTCAACTTGGATCAAAATATATTTTAGGTAATCATTTTATGTATTAACTTCCTTTTTAAAAATATATTTATTTTTAGAGAGGGGAAGAGAGGGAGAAGAGGAGAGAAATCAATATGTGAGAGAAACATCAATCAGTTGCCTCTTGCATGTGCCCCAGCCGAGCCAGGCCCACAACCCAGGCTTGTGCCCTGACTGGAAATTGAACTGGTGACCTTGAGTTTCTGGGAAGACGCCCAACCCACTAGCCACACCTTTGGCTATACATTTGGTTATACATTTAACTCCTTTGTGCCACCAGATTGTTTTATTTGCTGTGGCTGTACATATATTTATTCAAATTGTGTATATGGAAATGTGTGTATTGCTTAAAGTGTGCTGTGTGCATTCAGTAGTTCACTTTTTCATTACTGGGAGTGAGACATTCTGATATTTGAAATCTTAAGAATCTGGAGAAAATAATATTTCAGAATATTTATAGGACTATATGTTATTTGTGTAATAAAGGATGGAATTTTTCAGTTTGTTGAATTTTGTCATTTTAGGTATTGCTGGCCTCTTCACAATTTTCTCAAGTTTCGTATTCAGCACAGTTGTCATTCACTTTTTAGATAAAGAATTGACAGGCTTGAAGTAAGTATTGAAAGCATAATAATACTTTTTTCAAAATATTATTTTTATATATTATACCTGTATATATTTTCTTCAATATTAAGAACTTATAAAGTAATATGTAAATTTTCAGACTTTTTAGAAAATAAGAGGGAAGTTTTCATGTAATCATTTAGCTATTTTTAAAAACTGTTAACATTTTGGTATATATGTCCTTCGCCATTTTTTTTAATACTTCAAGAAAACTTCTGAGATCATCCTATATATACTGCTTTATAATTTATTTTTGACTAATAATAGTTTATCAACATCTTTGCATGTGCTTAATGCTAAACTAAATTATTTGTTGTGGCTGCCTATTATTAATGTCTCTGTATGAATATTTTGTAGTTTATTTAGTCATGTAGAATTGGATTGTTAGGTTACTTAATTTCCTCCATTAATAGCAACACTGTGCTGCATGTCTTTGTAGATAAATTTTTGTTCATATTCATAGTCATTTTCTTAAGACAAATTCTTAGGAATGAGGTGTAGTGGTTGTGTGAGTAGAATTGAGTGCCATTTTTGCCACTTTACTCTCCAGTAAGGTTGTTTAACTTCTCAGAAGTAACGATAAATGAAAGGAAAATTATATATATTCTACTTTTTTTCCTCATGCTAATTCAAGGAGACATTATTTACTAAGAATGATATTTTGGTATAAAATTATCAAAAGGTGTTTCTATATAAATGTATTTACATTTTTAACAAATGTTTTGAACAACTAGAATATTTATTTTTAAGGATGTCAGAGGAGTATAGGGTATTGACTTTTTGATCTGCAAAAAGGCACACACACTAGAGAATCCTACAATGTAAGAAGGAGCAAGTTTTGTTTTAGAAAAGATTTTAAAGCCATATGTTTTCCTCTGTTAAATGTACCTCATCATCTTGTTTTTTTTCCAGTGAAGCTTTGCCCTTTTTCCTTCTTTTGATTGATCTTTCCAGAGCAAGTGCACTAGCAAAGTTTGCCCTCAGTTCAAACTCACAGGTAAGTATTGTTTATAAGACATGTAAGTTAATAGCACTCCTTTTTTGTTTTGTTTTTTTTCAGTTTGTTTACATTCATAGGAAAGATTAATAGTAGAGTTTCTTTGTAGTCTGAGGTTTAGGAATCACCTATAATTGTAAATGTATTTTATTTTTTAAATTGTATTTTCCGATTATGTTATTAAAGTTGTCCTGATTTTTTCCTCCTCTGCCCACCTCGACCCAGCACCCCCTGCTCCCTCAGGCAATCCCCCCACCGTTGTTCATGTCCGCAGGCCATGTGTATAAGATCTTTGGCTACTCTATTTCCTATACTGTACTTTACCTCCCCATGGCTATTCTGTAACTACCTATTTGTACTTAATCCCCTCACCTTTTCACCCATTTTCCCACACCCTCCTCCCATCTGGCAACCATCAAAATGCTCTCCGTATCCATGATTCTGTCTCTATTCTTCTTGTTTGCTTAGTTTGTTTTTTAGATTCAGTTGTTGATATGTATCTATTGCATTTTATTGTTCATAGTTTTGATCTTTTTTTTCCTTAAATAAGTCCCTTTAACATTTCATATAATAATGGTTTGGCGATGATGAACTCCTTTAGTTTTTTCTTGTCTGGGAAGCGCTTTATTTGCCCTTCGATTCTAAATAATAGCTTTACTGGGTAGAACAATCTTGGATGTAGGTCCCTGCTTTTCATGACTTTGAATATTTGTTGCCAATTCCTCCTAGCCTGCAAAGTTTCTTTTGAGAAATCAGCTGACAGTCTTATGGGAACTCCCATTTAGATAACTGGCTGCTTTGCTCTTGTTGCTTTTAAGATTCTCTCTTTATCTTTAACCTTTGGCATTTTAATTATGATGTGTCTTGGAGTGAGCCTCTTTATGTCCATCATATTATTTGGGTGCTTCCTGGACTTGAATGTCTATTTCCTTCACCAAATTAGGGAAGTTTTCTTTCATTATTTTTTCAAATAGATTTCCAATTTCTTGCTCTTGCTCCTCTCCTTCTGGCATCCCTGTGATGCAAATGTTGGACCTCTTGAAGTTGTCCCAGAAGCTTCTTATACTTTCCTTATTTTTTTTTTTAAATTCTCTTTTCTTCTTGTTGTTCTGATTTGTTGTTTTTTGCTTCCTTGTATTCCAAATAATTGATTTGATTCTCGGCTTCATCCACTCTACTGTTTCCCTGTAAATTGTTCTTTATTTCAATTAGTGTATCCTTTGATTCTGCCTGGAATTTTTTATGCTGTTGAGGTCCTCTCTAAGTTCTTTGAGTATCCTTATAATCAGTATTTAGAACTCTGCTTCTGATAGATTGTTTATCTCCATTTTGTTTTGTTCTTTTTTTGGAGTTTTGATCTGTTCTTTCATTTGGGACATGTTTATTTGTCTTCTCATTTTGGCAGCCTCCCAGTGTTTGTTTTTATGTATTAGGTAGAGCTGCTTTGACTCTGTGTCTTCGTAGTGTGGCCTAATGTGGTATGTGTCCTGTAGGGTCCAGTGGCACAGCCTCCCCTATCACCCAGACTGGATGCTTGAGGTACACCCTTCATGTGGGCTGAGTACACCCTCCTTTTGTAGTTGAGCTTTGGTTGCTGTTGGCAGATCAGTGGGAGGGTTTTACCCAGTCCAGTCAGCTGCAAAGATTGGCTGTGACCCTTACTGCCAACCTCCACCCTCCATGGAGGGTCAAGTTGTTCAGGGGCAGGGTATACTAGCCCTGCAGTTTCTTGGGTGGCGCTGGCCAAGGTCAGCCTGTGTTTTGCCCAGAGTCACCCTGCCTGAGCTATGAAGTAATCTGAGGTGGCTGCTACTGGTGCTGGGCTTGGAGATTCCCAGGCGAAGTCAAGCTAGGCTGGCTACTGCCGGTGCCATGCCTGGGGCTCACTGAAGCCAGCTGTTGCCCATTTGATAGGATCTAGGAAGTTGTGAAGCATGAACCAAGACCAGCCATTCATACAGAAAAGCAGCTCTCATGGGTCTGTAAGTTGGGTGGGGTGAAGTCTCTGGGGATCTCCAAGGCAGGTCCAGTGGTGTTAGCCAGATTGATAGAGTCTCGGATATGGCACCAGCTTGCCAGCTCTGTGGGGAGAGGCACCAGGAAAAGGACAGTGGCCTCTGCTTGCCTTAATGCCAGACATTTCCTCCCTTTATGCCACTGGTGCCTTTCAAGCTGCTGCTCCAGTGGTAGAGCTCAGAGAGAATGAGTCTGAGTAGGTGAGTGTGTGTGTGGGTTCTTTAAGAGGAACTGCTTGGGGCTCCAGAGGTTTCTTCTGCCAATTCAATCCCTGCTTGTTTTTGCAGCCAAAAGTTGTGAGGACATATCTTCCTGGCACTGGAACCCTGAGCTGGGGGGCCTGGGTGGCGCTGGGACTTCTCACTCCTGAGATATCCCTCCTTAATTTTTATCCACATGTAGGTGGGGGACCATCCCGTTCCACGCCTGTGCCCCTCCTACCAATCTGGATGGACGTGGTTTCTTTAATTCCGCACTGTCAGACTTCCATTCACCTTGATTTCTGATGGTTCTGAGTTATTGTTGTTCTATATTTTAGTTGTAATTTTGATGTGGTTGTGCTAAGAGGCAAGCCATGCCTGCCTACACCACCGTCTTGACTGGAAGTCCTTCTATAATTGTAAATTTAATTATAAAGTCCTAAGACTGGTCTTCTTAAGTACCCTGGGAACTGTCTTATTTATCTGACAACTCAGTTACAATTCCATAGCTTCTAGAATTTGGAATCTTTTCCATTTTCCTTTTTGAATGTTTCAGAAATTAAGGTTACATTTCAGAGTTTTGGATAAGAGTATCGACCTAGTAAAATGCAGGATAGGATCTAATAAAAAGGTGCTTCAGGATAGAGTCCCTTTGAAACCACTGTCATTATTTCCCAATAAAGTTTTACCTTGGTATTCATTAGTCTCTTTAAAGAATCTAACATTTTTAACAATCTTCCTTCAGAGTATCTGAGTATAAAATAGCATGTTCTGCCTTGATTATGTATTTGATGAATAGTTATGATCATTTGAGATGGGACATGATTTGACAAGGATATTACTTAGGTTTCATAATAGTAACATGGTCTTAAAATTTTTGCAACTAAATACTTCTGTCAGTGGTAGCAAAAATATAAAATACTGTAAAATTTAATTATGTGAGATTTAAATGGCAGAATTCATGCACCACCTCAAAGGAATCTTTCCAAGAAATATCTTGTTCAGTAGAAAGGGAAAGCAGTACACTAAATATGCTTTTCTTTTAAATCCATTATTTTATTGGTGCACTTTGCATTTAGAATGCTTGTTAGTCTTGTCATATTGCATATTTTATTCTTTGCATACTAAGTTAGATTGGTAGTATGCTAACATTTTTAAAAGTCATTTTGTATCTTACCCTCATTGATAACGTTTGGTCTGTGTTTTAGGATGAAGTGAGGGAAAATATTGCTCGTGGAATGGCAATTTTAGGCCCCACATTCACCCTTGATGCTCTTGTAGAATGCCTTGTGATTGGAGTTGGAACCATGTCAGGTTTGTAAGCAATTTTTAATATATTTTAAAATAAGTTTGTAATAAAGAGAAAAAAAGAACATTTAGATTGCATTGGTTATTCTTAAATCCTGATTGAAAAGACTGATGTTATTCTTAAGTGTTTCGATTATATGAGTATGTTGGTATAACTGACCTGTTTGTTTTAATGTTAACTTAGTAGTAGATTTCTGATTTATTGTTTACTCTTGCCATCTTTTTCAGTGCAGCACTCTTTGATTACTTTGTGGTGTTTTTGTTCTTTGGTTTTGTAAGATTGTATTCCAAGGCTTTTCTGGAAAGCATCTTCCAGACCCTGCTGTTGCCCATACTATAATAAATGACCAATTTGGTTCCTTGTGTTTTGTCATGTAGAAGATAGTGCAAGAGTCAGGAGCTGGACAAAACTAAGTTAGATCCTCCTAATAAGATGACTGAGAAGATTTAATCAAACAGTATGTGGCATTTTTTCAGTTTGACAGTAGAGAATTATATGGTAAATATCAAAGGGATTCATTCTTTCAAAAGCAAATGATCTAAGTTTTAAGACAGTAGTTAGTTGTCACTATTAGTTGAGGTCTCTTCACTAGGTAGTGTATTATATTGCGATATATATAATGTTAATTAAAACTTCCTGAGGGTCAGTTTTTTCATTTATTTAATCTGTCATTCAACAAAATTTTATTTAGTAAAGACATTTTTTAAATAATTTTTTTAAATGTACATTCTTCAAAATCTCTTTTTGGGTAAAATTCTGAGTTTTGACAACAATATAATCATGTAACTACCATGACAATCCAGAAAAATGTTTTGATTAGGTGAAAAACGTACCTGTGTGATTTCATTCAAGCAAAGGAGAGTAAATAAGAGGATAAGGAAGACCAGCCAGAAACTCTTAGTAGGCCCTGAAACCCTGAATTAATCTTTTGAAACTGACATGGAAAGCAGTGAAAACTGATGTGGAAAGTAGGGTGATGAGCTCCATGATAGGTCAGGGAAGTGGATGAATGAAGTGATCATATTTGTTGTTGGAGAAGCCAGTTGGGAGACATTTATAGCTGTACAGAAAAGGAATAATTGTTTGGGATTTGGATTAAGGTAAAGTTTTAGAAAGGACAGATTTAACACATATTAACTAGGAAGTAACCCTTTGGGAAAATCAATAAAAAAATGTAAAAAAACCTTCACTTTCTGGAAATATAGAAATTAATGCTCTTTGTATGGTAGCAAAGTGGCTCAGAGATACTACTTGGAAGGAAGAGTAACCTGGAATGTACGGCACCCGTCATTACTGCTGCACAGAGGAAGTAGTAGATTTCCAGGTTGTAAAAGGTGCTGGTTTAGTATAGTTTCCATGATCGTAAGTCTGAAAAGATTATATTTGACTGCCATTTAAAATGTAGGCTGTTCATAATGCTTTTGTTGTTGTAATTTTGTGTTCTCCTTAATTTCCATATTTGAGAGTAATTGCTATGGAATTTTTAAAACTGCAGTGTATGCTCTTGTTCTATTAATTAGTCCAATGGTTTATCACGATTCAGAAAATAAAGTAAAACTGAGTTTTTTGTATTACTCTATTTGGCAGTTTTTATTTAAAAATGGGAATATTTTTACATTTAATATGAGTGACATTGGAAATATGTTTTATATTCAAGTTTATTTGGAAAGTGAAGGGGTAGGATTTGATTATTTAAAGTCTTTTCCAGCTCTATAATTCTGTTACCTTCTATTTGAGACGATTACTAGATGACACCTCAACCATTGTCTAGTGGAACAGTTGTTATTTTTGTATCTTGAGATTTCTTTTTGCATTATATCATTTTTCAAACAATGAAAATAACAAAAATACAAGAACATCAACAGGTACTATAGAGGTTATACTGAAATTAGAGTTTAGCAGAGTTATACTGAAATTAGAGTATAGTTTATTATGACACTATATCAGGAATGGTGGAACTGGCAGTATGTTTTATTTTTATATAAAGTCCTTGGTCCACAGGTGAATTGCTTTTGTGGTAAAGAGTAGAATTGGATCAATAGTATAAAACTGTGGGAGGTGTGTTCTATTAGATATCATTATCTCAAAACAGAGCATTTAAAAAAAGGGGATTATTAAATGTACATTAAAGGCTACCATACTGCCTGGCTTTGTGATTTTGGTGACATGGGAGAGGATTATCTATCCTCTCGGGCTTGACATCACCTCTGAGTTCCTAATTCTTTTTCTAGTAGATGACAAAGAGATTGACACGCTATATTCTCATGTATTTGTATACCTATGGGAAGAGTCTTGTGAGTATACGGCATCAAAAATACACATGCTTTAATAATTGTACATTTGATTTTTCTCTTACTAGGTGTGCGTCAGCTTGAAATTATGTGCTGCTTTGGCTGCATGTCAGTTCTTGCCAACTACTTCGTGTTCATGACTTTCTTCCCAGCTTGTGTGTCCTTGGTTTTGGAGGTAAGAGCAGTTCTTACAGCAACATTAATAGAAGAGTAATATTTCTCATTGTATCAGTTCACTTAAATGAAAGCAGTACTTTCTAATGTAACACTGACTTACTTTGTAGCTTTCTCGGGAAAGCCGCGAGGGTCGTCCAATTTGGCAGCTCAGTCATTTTGCCCGAGTTTTAGAAGAAGAAGAAAATAAACCGAATCCTGTTACTCAGAGGGTTAAGATGATTATGGTAATTACATAGTTTTCTTCTCCCTTCAGTACCTTCTGTTCCAATATCATATTCTGCTTTTCAGTTTTGATTTTATTTTCTTCTTTTGTCATCTTTCTATAGTTTTTGGCTCTTTCGCTGATATTTCTCTTTACTTCTTTTCTTAACTTGTTTCTTAGAAGCTCCTGGTCTTTCTTAGTGTCTCTCCCATAAACAGATTTTTCAGGTTCCTCCACTTTCTGTCACTGAAAACCTGTTCTTTGGAATGTGCTCAGTAGTTCAGTGAGGCCAGTACTATAGTCACATAGCAAGTTTGGGGCTTTCTTTTCATGCTAAGGGGAGGCCAAAGGCGATAGTGTCTGGTTATCCAGTTGCTAAAGATAAGAAGTTTAGGTTTTGCTGATATGTAGAAAATATATAATTTTTTAAAAATTTTATTTCAGTCTCTAGGCTTGGTTCTTGTTCATGCTCACAGTCGCTGGATAGCTGATCCGTCTCCTCAAAACAGCACAGCAGAAAATTCTAAGGTTCCTTTAGGTTTGGATGAAAATGTGTCCAAGAGAATTGAACCAAGTGTTTCCCTCTGGCAATTTTATCTCTCTAAGTAAGTTACCTGATACCTACTTTGTTGTATATTAATCTTGGTACTCTGTGCTACTAAAAGTTCAGGTGGTGCCCTTTACATTTTCAAGTAATAACATTATAATTTGCTTTCTTTTATTTAGAATGATCAGCATGGATATTGAACAAGTTATTACCCTAAGTTTAGCTCTCCTTCTGGCTGTCAAGTACATCTTCTTTGAACAAGCAGAGACAGAATCTACACTTTCATTAAAAAACCCTATCACATCTCCTGTAGTGACCCAAAAGAAAGTCCCAGACGATTGTTGTAGACGTGACCCTGTAGTGGTCAGAAATAACCAGAAATTCCATGCAGTGGAGGAGGAAGCAAAGATAAACAGAGAAAGAAAAGGTGATTTGTTACTCTCTTCGTTTTCGTTTCTTACAATGCTGATTTGTTAAGAAGTGGAGTCAGTTTTAGTCCTTATGTTTAGTGTTGTGAGATTTCATTTGATTTTTCTAACAGCTGAGGTTATAAAACCCTTAGTGGCAGAAACTGATACCTCAAGCAGAGCTGCGTTTGTGGTTGGTGATTCCTCTTCACTCAATGCTTCGCCAGAACTAGAGACCCAGGAACCTAAAATTGAACTTCCCAAGGAGCCTCGGCCTACTGAAGAATGTCTGCAGATACTTGGGAATGCACAGGTGAGGAAAACAAAATACACTCAAACGTGGTACCTTTCTTAAGAAAAAGGGCTTTTTTAGTGAAGGAAGGAAGTTTTAGCTACTGAGTACCTACTAAGTTCTAGGCACTGTGTTGCATGATTTACAGGCAGTGGTCTTATTTATTCCCCACAACTTTGTGAGATAGGTGGAATTATCCCCATTTTTCAGATGAGAAAGCTGAGGCTCCAAAGGTTTCAATATTTCCCAAAGTAATACATCTAGGAAATTGTAAAGCTGGGACCGAGAGTCCAAGATTTACTGGCTCAAGGGTCAGTGCTCGTTCTATTTTATTACTCTTATTACGGAGATGAGAAACTACTTTACTCTCTCATGTGTGTTGAGGCCTATCAAAGGTTTAATATAGAAATGAACCTCAGAGATAGAAGAAGGTTCTGGTGTTTTTTTTTAAAGTAAGCTTAATGCTCATGAAGAAGCTTACTTTCCTTTCTGAGATTTGAACAGGGTTCCTACCTACATGAAGAGGCCATTCATGCTTTAGTGTGATGCTGCGTTCTATCCATATCTGCCTAACCTGGTTCATTTTTAGCTTATCTACATATGGGTGAAAATAGGGTTGTGTTTGTTTTATCACTTTCCTTTGCCTCATCCTGTTAACATGTAGCAGTATCTCAGCTGTCTTGCTATATACAGAGTTATCGATACGTATAGGGTGGGTGTCAGAATTTTAATGAGGGATTTTTTTTTCCAAGGAACTTACTTGCAAAATTTAGTGTTTTGGACTTATGTTGGTTTGTCACATTTTTATGAAGAATTTACTTTCATTTTGATATTCTTATTTCTTCTCAAATCATGTTCTTTAGAATGCCAAAGTCCTTTAGGTTCTACTCTTACTTGTGTTTTAGCTCTGTTGAGAGCATTATTTCGATTAAATTGTTTATTTAATATGAATAATATGAAGTACAGTTCTTCAGAGTCTTTCGTCATCTCTCTCCCTCAACTCCCTTCTGTTTTTTTTCCATTTCTTTAGAAAGGCGCCAAGTTCCTCAGTGATGCTGAGATCATCCAGTTAGTCAATGCTAAGCATATCCCCGCTTACAAATTGGAAACTCTGATGGAAAGCCATGAACGAGGCGTGTCTATCCGCCGACAGCTACTTTCCAAAAAACTCCCAGAGCCTTCTTCTCTCCGCTATCTACCTTACAGGGACTATAATTACTCCTTGGTATGTTATTCTATTGATTTTAGAAGGTTTGCTTTGTAACTTTTTACTCTTATAGTTTTAGTCTTTTGCTTCTCTCCCGCCCCCAGCTCATCTTTTCCATGAGTACATAGTTTTATATTTTCCTTTTAAAGTCATTTCACTGTAATTTTGTATTCTGTTTATGATGTAGGCCATAGAAATTCAAAATATACTTCCTTTTGGTATTTATAGTCATTACGTAAATATTTTAGTATCTTAAATACTTTTAAAGAGTAAATAAAAATTTTGTTGAAAAATATACTAAAAGGTTAAGTTGAATAAAGTTTTAATGACAAGAGCCGTGTATTTGCAACACAGATTTCCACTTGGTTCCTAACTTTACCGTTTAGGTGATGGGAGCTTGTTGTGAGAATGTTATTGGATATATGCCCATCCCTGTTGGAGTGGCCGGACCTCTGTGCCTGGACGGAAAAGAATTTCAGGTTCCAATGGCAACAACAGAAGGTTGTCTTGTGGCCAGCACTAATAGAGGCTGCCGAGCAATAGGTGTAAGTTGGCATGTTTTATATTTGCCTGTTTTAGGATACACTGTCGGTGAGACAATGGGAGGAGATTGGGGGCAATCGGGGACACCTATTGGGATAAGCAGAAGTGCTTTCAACATTAATCTGTGCTTCTGTAACATACGCTGCATAGCTCGGTGGGGGTGCCAGCAGCCGAATCCTCGCAGATGGGATGACGCGTGGCCCAGTGGTGCGTCTTCCCCGTGCTTCTGACTCTGCAGAAGTGAAGGCCTGGCTTGAAACACCTGAAGGCTTCACAGTGATAAAGGAAGCATTCGACAGCACCAGCAGGTATGTGTGGGGGTTTCTAAGTTCATTTATGTCTATTTCAGAACCAATGCCATCTTCTTTGATCACTAAATGTAACTGTTAACATATTGCCAGCTTGAAGTGACATAAAATATCAACTTTAAATCCATTTATTCAAAATTTGTAGTGTTAATGCTTGGTTTGGGGTGGGGGAACGGAATGTTAATCTAAATGAATACCTCCACAGAGGTGAATTAGAAAGCTCACCTAGTGTGAGCTAGTAAGTTTGTGTGTTGATTTTATAAGGCTCACTAGAAGAGTTTTGACTTAAAATTGTCCTCTGGCAGAATTGCCTGAGAGATGATTTTGGAAGCAGGATAGAAGTAAATATTAGTATAGTTGATTTACTTTGAATACAGAAAATTAAACTTACAAAGAAGCATAAACAATACAAATGATATCCCCAGTATAGTTCAGATTTATATGCTTGTCTTTATTTGGACTTCTAAAGTTTACCTATAATGAAATGACTGTAGCCCTCCCTTCCTTGCAGCATATAATGAGAGAGTTGATATAGTATTCTGATAAAATGTTTAAAGAACAAAACACATTAAGTAATCTCCATGGGGTTTCTCTTACGAATAAAATGAACCAACCAAACTAGATTTTAAGATAACTTACATTTTCTTTAAAAAAAATCTGTTTCTTTGGTTGATAGGTTTGCACGTCTACAGAAACTTCATATGAGTATAGCTGGGCGCAACCTTTATATTCGTTTCCAGTCCAGGTCAGGAGATGCCATGGGGATGAACATGATTTCGAAGGTGAGCGCAGATAGACTAAAACAGAGCTTGAAAGAGCGTCCCAGGAAAGGGGACCTCATTGTCAGGGAGACAGATGTCGGGAGCAGACTTGCTGTCTTCTTTATGCCCTCCGTACTTTTAATATTATACCATATACATCTGTTTACTCAAAGAAGTAATTGATGGAAACATTTTTCATGTAACTCATTATATATATCAGGCATTTGTTGATTGGTGGTTTTTTTGATATATTTAATTTAGACTTGGCATTATATATGTTCTGGGTCTACTCGGGATGGGAAGAATCTTGGGGTTAGCACTTCAAAACTTTGCTGTATAAACCTTGAAAGTTGACCTCTTTTAGGAACTTTAAGACTTTTATTTAAGAAGCTAAAATATTTTTTTTTTTAATATTTTGAGGGAGAGGGGGAGGGAGGGAGAAAGAGAGAGAGGAACATTGATTTGCATGAGGAGCAGCACGCCCCCAGCCAGGGACCTGTCCCGTACCCCAGGTATGTGCCCTGACTGGGAATCAAACCATGATTTTTCTGTTTGCATGATGACTCCCAACCCACTGAGCCACACCAGTACCCTAGTGAGGGAAAAATGCATAAGCTTTAAAAATTGCCAATAAACAGCACAGTGGTTCTTTAAATATATTTATTATCCAGCAATTCCACTTCTGGGTATATACCTAAAAGAATTGAAAGGAAGGTCTCAAAGAGACATTGTGCACCCTTGGCCACAGCAGCATTCTGCACAATAGCCAAAAGGTCACAGCAGCCCAAATTCTCTATTGGTGGATGAATGGATAAACAAAATGTGTTGTGTGTATACAATGAAATACTATTTAACCCTAAAAAGAAAGAAAATTCTGACATGCTAACTGTGAATGAATCTTGAGGTTCACTTGTTAAGTGAAATACTCTGGTTACAAAAAATAAATACTAGGATACCCACTGATGAGATACCTAGATGAGTAAAATTATAGAAAGTGGAATGGTGGTTGCTGGGGGCTGAGGAGAAAGGGGAATGGAAGAGTTATTTAATAGGTATAGAGTTTCAGTTTTGCAAGATAAAAAGAGTTCTGGAGATTTGTTGTACAACAAGGCGGACATACTTAAAACTACTAAACTATAAACTTGAAAATGCTTAAGATAGTAAATTCTATGTTATGTGTATTTTACCACAATTGAAAAACATTGTTTAATTGTCTGCCAGTATGTTTTGGGTTATTGAGGTGTGAGTTAACTGAATTAATTTCACTTAATTGGAAATCGTTTAGAGGTCTTGTTTATAGTCCATATAATGTAAATCCCATAAACTTTCCATTAATGGCAAGGTTTACTTTCATATCTGACCTCTCCTTTCAGGCTTCATAAATTGGGCTTTTGGGTAACAATTTAATAACCAGAAGAAAGAATTTATTAAATGTTGATCATGGGTTGGGTAACACCCTCCAGTGGCATGAATGTGATTATTCTCACTGACTATTTTTTCATACTCTTAACTACATTCTATTCATCAATAACTAGAAAGGAGTGTGTTTTCATACCTAGAAAGAACCATTAGCAATCTACACCTGACTAAGAAATTACTTTTGTGCTTAGTTTCTTTTAAGTATAGTTATATTATTTGAAATCAAAATTATTGTAGTTACTGTACTTAGAAGTATTACTATTAGATACAAATAAAGCCTCTGATCTGTAAATAACTGTGCCTTTTAATGTAATTTTTTTGTTGTTGTTTTCAGGGTACGGAGAAAGCACTTTTGAAACTCCATGAATATTTCCCTGAAATGCAGATCCTTGCAGTTAGTGGTAACTATTGTACTGACAAGAAGCCTGCTGCTATAAATTGGATAGAGGGGAGAGGAAAGTCTGTTGTTTGTGAAGCTGTCATTCCAGCCAAGGTTGTCAGAGATGTGAGTGATTGGATAAATATTTTATTTTGTTAATCTTTATTTGGATTAAAAAATTGGAGGAGTATTAGCATTCAAAGTAAAGTTTTAACATATGGCTGTATGTTTTACGTTAAAGATAACTGTTGATCATATCTTGCCCATCTGTCTGTCGGTGGCATTCACAGGAACAATCTTAACTGATACTCTCTCTATTGAGGACAGGGCTTACATGGGGCCACATCTAAACTTCCTTGTTTTCTGGAGGTACAGAAAGACAGATGTGGACACACCACAAAGTCAGGAAATGACAGATCAATTTAAGAAGCAGAAGAGAAGAGCCTCACAAATAATGGGAAGACAAAGAAACAACCCAGTCGAAGAGAAAGGAGGAATACCCAGAAAGAGAAATAAATGAAATAGAGACAACTAAACTATCAGATATTGAGTTCAAAACAATGGTTCTAAGGAAGCTCAATGAGCTCGGTGAGCTAAGTGAGAACTACAAGAAACTACAGGGAATCTATGAGGAACTTACTGCAAACTAAATCAGCATGAAAAAGGATATAGAAACTATTAGTAAGAGACAAGAGGAAATGAAGAATACAATTTCTGAATTATAGAACACAGTAGAAGGAATCAAAAGCAGACTAGATGAAGGAGAGGAATGAATCAGCGAGCTGGAGGATAAGGGAGAAAAAAAGATCCCAGAAAAAGCCAGAAAATGAAAAAAGACTCAGAAAGAATGAAGAGGCATTCAGGGAAATGCAGGACAGCCAGAAACATAATAATATCCATGTAATAGGGATATCAGAAGGAGAAGAGGGTGAGGAAGGGATAGAGAACCTGTTTGAAAAAGTAATGATGGGAAACTTCCTTAATTGGAGGAGAGAAAGAGTCACAAGTTCAGGAAGCACAGAGGGTCCCATTCAAGAGGAACCCAATGAGGCCCAGTCCCAGACATATAATTAAAATGGCAGATATCAAAGACAAACAGAATCCTAAAGGCAGCAAGGGAGAAAGAGGTAGTAATATACAAGGGAGCCCCAATACGGCTAGCAGCTGACTTCTCAACAGAAACATTACAAGCCAGAAGGGAATGGCAAGAAATATTCCAAGGAATGAAAAACAAAGACCTGCAACCAAGACTGCTCTATCCAGCAAGGCCCTTAATTAAAATGGAAGATGAAATAAGGAGTTGCCTCGGACAAAAGAAGGCTAAAGGAATACACCTCCACGAAGCCAGCATTGTAAAATATGCTAAAGGGACTGCTTTAAGAAGATAAAGAAAACCAGTTCCTTTCACAATCACCAATACTTGATATTACCAATATTTTTAATATGTATTAATCTGATTGTGACAATGATGTTATTTTAATTGTTCCTTTATTGTTGAAACTAAACCTGTTTTTGTATATTTCTTGCCTATTTCTATTTTTAAAAAGCTTTAAATGACTTTCTGGTATTCTTTATCCATTTTTTGATTAAAGATTTGCATAGTTTTTACCCTAAAAAACAAAACAACACAATACAATTAACCCCTTTTTTAGATGTGCTGCAAATATTTTCCTATTCTATTACTTGTCCTTTAACTTTTTTATATATGTATATTGCCGCATAGTCTTAAATGCTTAATATAGTCATATTGTCAATATTTTACTTTATAGCTTCTGGGTTTGAATATGTTACTTCAGGGTAAGAAAAATATTATATTGAATTTTCTCTGAAAACTCCTTAGATTTTACATATTGATTTTTAACTCACCTGAAATTTTTTTTGTATAATGTATGAAATAGGGCTGTATATTTGTTTTATTTCAAGTAATAGTGGTCCAGGCACCTATTTGTTGAATAAGCCTCATTTTCCCCATTGACTTGAAATATCAATTTAATCATATATTCCGTTGTTAGATAGATATATATGTTTGTTTCTCGAATGTTCATTTTATTTCATTGATCTACTTGATTATTTCTGCGCAGGAGTCATGTTATTTTAATTGCTGAGACTTTATAACAGATTTAAATTTTTTAATATTTTATAATGGATCTTGATATTTAAGAAAATAAGTAAAATCAGTCTGCATTTTAAAAAAAATAAAAAGAAAGACAGATGTGGGTAACGTACCCCTGGATATCCGGATGGAGATGTAATGGGTGTACACCTCCGTTTTCTAGGTGTTAAAGACTACTACGGAAGCTATGATTGAGGTCAATATTAATAAGAATCTGGTGGGCTCTGCCATGGCCGGGAGCATTGGAGGTTACAATGCCCACGCAGCAAACATTGTCACTGCCATCTACATTGCGTGTGGACAGGTGAGGACCCCGGCCTCTACTTCTTATCTCTTTTATTGTTCTAAGTAAGAGAAGTTTTAGTTTCTTTCTTTTCCCTCCCCCCAGGATGCAGCACAGAATGTTGGTAGTTCAAACTGTATTACATTAATGGAAACAAGTGGTCCCACCAATGAAGATCTGTACATCAGTTGCACCATGCCCTCTATAGAAATTGGAACTGTGGGTGGTGGGACCAACCTGCTCCCTCAGCAAGCCTGTTTGCAGGTATGAAACACAGGTGACCTCAAGCCTAGTTCTCGCTGAGATCTCTGTTTCTGCCTGCCACGACATATGACTCAGCTCTATATTTTAGCTGTCTTTTCATTCTTTTGTTTCCCATCCGCCTTGTCCAAGTAAGCATGTTTGGTCATATGCTTAGTGAATTGAGAAGGTAGGTTAAGAGAGCAAAAGAAAGTGCGCTGCCAGCCGGGCTCTGTATGTTTACTCTGTATGGTATATATGTTGTCAGTACTGGCCGTCAAACCTTGGGAAATTAAGGGGAGTCTAGTTCTGTTCTAACATCATGTAGTTGCCCTTATTTTAGTTGACTGAATAGGAAATTGTTGCTGTGACTTTAAGGGTGAGTCCTGCTCTGTCTCTCTGTGGCTGCAGATGCTAGGTGTTCAAGGGGCGTGCGAAGACAATCCGGGGGAAAATGCCCGGCAGCTCGCCAGAATCGTGTGTGGTACAGTAATGGCTGGGGAATTGTCACTGATGGCAGCATTGGCAGCAGGACATCTTGTCAAAAGTCACATGATTCACAACAGGTAAAGACCAAAAGATTTATTTAATGTGTTTTCTGTTCTCAAAATAGGGAGTATAAAAACCTAGTATTCAGATGCAATAGTCCCAACTTAAAATTCTGTAGTCTTGATATTTGGTATATCTCTTTGTCTCTTTTTCCCGTAGGTCAAAAATAAATTTACAAGACCCCCATGGAACTTGCACCAAGCAGGCTGCTTGAATGGCCTGGCAGTTCTGAACTGAAATACGGGTGTTGTGTTCTAAAGGACTAACATAAAATCTGTGAATTAAAAAGCTCAAGGTTCTTTTGTTGAGAATGAATAGATATGATCGGTGAGATGACTGCTTGGTGTTTGGCTCTTTCACAAAGACCTGAGGTTCTTCTCTCCGTGCAGATTCCTCAGCTCTGAAGACAGTTTAATGCTTTAGGTGCTGTGCTCTTTGGAAAGATCTCAACATGGCTATTATGCTTCCAAGCGTCACAGGTCGTGATTGACAGTTCGCTTCTGAAAGAGAAAACGCGTGGGGAAAAAAGTGTTTTCTTTTGACGAAATTCATGGAGTTCATGGTGATCAGTATGAGGTGGCACTTCCCTGACACCTCCAGCACACTGGGTTGAAAATGGACTTTTAAATTATACTGCAGCTGACAAAATTCCTGATTTCATAGTAATTTATTAAGCCTGGGTTGTAGAATTTTAAGAAATAAGAGTTAAGTTTATTTTTTGTAAACTGCTACTTCATTTGGTGCTGGTCTATTTTGATTTTTTTGGGGGGTAGCCAGTGTGATTCTTCAGAAGAGAACCTGCTTTCTTCAAGGGAAGAATTACTCTTATTACCAACCACAGAATAATGTGCTAAGCAGTATAAAATAGTTCTCTATCAGGAAAACAAATCACTACACTTATCTCTGCAGGCTGTTTGTTCAGTGAGGCCTCTTGTTGAAATGTAAATGTATGTCTAGATTGGCTATAACATATCTTTCAATATAGTGCTTTAAGAAACAGTTTGTGTTCTTTATTAAAGATACCAGAGATCTTAATATTGCTTAGACCAGTGATTTTCAACCTTTTCCATCTTGTGGCGCATACAAACCAATTAAAATCTGTGGCACACCAAAAAAAATTTTTTTTTCCCCCATCTGACCAAAAAAAAAAAAAAAAAACACCCCAAAAAACAGATATAATTTTGATTCACTCACACTGGATGGCTATTGTGTTGGCTGTTGTCATTTTTTCATTTGACAATCTAAGGGGAAGGAGGCCAGTGCCCCTGTCTAAACTAGTCAGGTATTATATGCTTTAAAAATTCTTGTGGCACACTGGTTGAAAATTGCTGGCTTAGATGAAGGTGGTTCTGTTTATCAAGAACATAGAAGTCTGTGACCCCTCTGAGAACTCAGAGGATGGAAAATAGGTTTGAAGAAAAATGCCATTTCTCTAACCAAGTTTAATTTCTTAATGATGCTTACATTTATTTAGCTGAAAAATCTAGACAGTTTTTTGTAAAGAACTGTATCAAATCTGTGTATGTTGTAATAGAGCTTCTTATGCTAGTTTATTGAGAGTATTGAAGGAGTAAATAAAAATCACAAAAAGACTACACTGATAAAACACTCTGCGCTCAGGCCAGAGATGACAGTGTTCTTTAATGTAGTCCAGGAAGCCCTGGTTTGCTTGTGGAGCCCAATGAAAGGGCAAGTCAAGGGTCAGAGCCAGTGTGAATGGCCCTGGAGGAGTGTGCCTTGTTCCTGTGGCCAGGAGGTTGGTGACTGAAACATGCACCCAGGGCTCTTTGATGGATCCATAAAAGCTCTCAGCTTTCTCAGGGGGTCGGCAGAGTTGTTGGATCTTAATTTTTTTTAATATACAAGTTTTGTATAAGTAATAAAAGAAGTCCTTATTTTGTATTACATCTAATGCTTCAAGTGTTGGTCTTGGAGAGCTGATGGCTCGTGTGGAAGACGGACTCTGGAGAACATTCCACTGGTGAATGTCATGGCAACATGAGAGCCTCTGAATGGTCACGTCTGCAGCATCGTTGTGGAAGCTGTCTGTAAACTTGAACTTGCTTCTGTTGTGACTTTTCATCCAGTGACTTATTTATCTGAACTTTTCAGAGAAGTGGCAGTGAAAAACATGTTGAGTCTTCACTTTGATGAATAACCAATATCATCTTCCTAAATTAATGTTTTGTACAATTACTAAATTGTATACATTTTGTTATACTTTTTTCCAGTTCCAGTAAATTATGAGAAGTCAATACTGATAAGTGTAAGCAGTAACCTTTTTCTTGTTTGGATTAACCCTGAGGCCTGAAAGCCTGTAAAGTCCAGCCGGGGTGGTAACTGACCTATGATTCCCACTAGGGGTCACATGACCATTTATCGTTCTCCATTATATTCTCCAACTCTACAACATTAATGGCACGCTGGTGTTGCATGCACATTAAAATTCTCTTCCCTATAGAGAGTTTGATCAGATTTATCATCTCACTGAACTACTTTTGGATACTGGGGCTGTGAGGAAGGGCATAAATACTGGGCAGCCAAACCCAAATAGCCATTGCAGTGTGCATTTAAGCTGTATACACTGAACAGGAGAGTACAGCATTGGCCTCTTTAAAAGCTGATTCCCATTTTGCAATTATCAAGTATACTTCTGCTGTAGTTAGAGATGAAAAGGTGTATGTATGAGCCTCTAAGAACAAAGGCCCAGGTAATAGAAAATCAGTTTGAATTTTTCTTCCCAAATGGCATGATTACTTGGATGTTTGTCTCCTCTAGAGTGGAGTGAGTTGGAAAGGCAACAGTGAGGATTTTCAGCCCCTTCTCTGCTTGGGTGATTCCGTGAACAGAGAGGTGCATGTGGATAGAGGATAGAGGTCGAAAGGAAACATCTCACATTGTTGAAGGGTCTAAGTTCAAACGACACAGAGCAGCAAAACACATCAGTACAAATCCACCCTATATAGAAGGTAAAATAAGAGCAGTAAATTCACTATAGAAAAGTATTTTCAAGGCCACTGTTTCTCCTGGCCAAGACTAATTTGATGATGATAAACTTTGTGAAGTTAGCATAATTAATGGATAACCTCTACCATGGAAACCAGAAGATGGCAAATGATTTTTGATACACAGTTTTGTAACATTCCTTTTTTCACTGTAATGGAACATGCCTCCTATGTGGCCACCTTTTTCCCTCCTGAACAATTTTGAGGGCTGCCGACTGAGGGATGGGCACTCTTGTGTCAGGACCCCAGTTTCCCTGAGGCCAACAGAAGAGAGCCTTGTGCTGGCAGGGGGAGTTAGGGGCCAGAACACAAAAGAATACATTAATTCAGGGCTTCTCCAACCTGAGTGTGCAACACAGGGAAGACTTGTCCAAACTGTGCTGCGCCATCCCCAGGGTTTCTTGCTTCCCTTGGTCTGGGGCACGGCCAGGACTTTGGCAGTTCTGTCAGTGGGTGCTGCTGCTGCTCTAACGGTGGATTTCAGCAAGCGGTGCTTGCTGTTAATGAGTGGTATTAGGAGTCATGTTTCTTCAGAAGCACTCAGTTGGAGAACGCCATGGAGAGATCAAATGTTATGAATTAATCCTAGAGAGAGAACAACTGGAAATTACGTTACCTGGATTTGGTGTCTCCCTGAGCTCCACCTATGACCACCCCCCTCACCCTCGCCTCACTGAACAACACTGGAAGTCTTCATATCTTCAATGAATGGAATGACTGGCCCCCCCCCCCCACCCCGCCCCCAGACATCTAGCTGTGCCGACTGGAATTCCTTTGCTTTCCTGCCACTTGAAATTTGCAATGGTAAACAGGCTTTAGTGGATAGGGTAGGGGTAGGGGATGGTTGAGGGAGCAATTCTGTCTCCACTCTAAACTCAGCTGGGATCCTGTTAGAAGTGTTGGACACAGTAAAGCAAATCCAGAGTATCATTAGTCCTAAATGATGTGTGGTGGGTGAGAGCCTTACTCCCAGCTCACTCTTAGCCTGGTGATTGCACAGCAGCCTCTACCTCTGCCCATTTCACTGTCTGGACTTGGGCTGTGGCCTCAAAGGGCTAATGAAACCATGAAGTTTTGGTTCACTTTCTGCCTCAGTCTCTGATAAAGGGTATAACCTGTGAGAGCCCTACCTCATTCTTAAACTTTTATTGCTCTTAATGGCAAAATATACTCAGGTCTGGACGGAGCAGCCCACTGACCTCCGGCCATGGCCCCTCCAACAGATCGGTGTGTTCTCACACTGTACCCTTGGCAAGTAGAGCATCAAGTTGGCTTGCTGGTGTGGCCTGGATTTATCACAAAGCTCTTGGGGAAAGGGCCTCCTTTAACTTGCTTAGGACAGTGTCTACCTAGCCCAGTAGGATCCAAACCTTGAACACCCCATCAGAAAAAACTTTTGGAAACACACCTCCAATAAATGTATTTCTTGATAAATTGCATTTATATTATCAAAAAACTAAAATATAAAAATATATACAAATAATTAGATGTTTCTGTACTCCAGGGGTAGACCTTGGGCACATTTTCCTCCAGATTGAGCTCTCTTCCAGACAGGAACCATGTCTTTTCTAGTTAATTTAGTACAGTACCTAAAATTTAAAGGTACTCAATGATGTTGAATGGCTAACATAATAATTAGGACTCCTCCCAAAGGGAAAATAGCAGTCATTTAAAATGAGATGATGGCAGTGTTAAAGAAGCTGGAAATCCAGACCTGTGAGGCCTCAGGGTGTGCTGGTCTATTTTTCTGTTTTCTTTGTAAAAATGTAAAACTCAAGACAGTTGGATAGCTGGCTACTTAGGCCTTGTCTAGCTCCACATACTCCATGAAATGCTGCATTTATTCTCTTATATATACAGAATCATTCTATTATCCAAATACAGGCATTTTTTTTCCAGTGGTTGTAATGGATCGCATGGTTACTCAAGTTTAATAGCCCGTCCCTTTTCACACAGCATCTTAGGGAGTCTGGACAAAGTTCCTTAGCCAATTGCCTCCCTTTTCATCCTGTCTTCTCAGGAACTGCACAGCTAACTACTTAACTCTTTGCAGCCCAGACCCTGGGGGCTGTCGCAGCATTTACTTTACAATTCTTAGCTCCTTTGACTGGGAGATTCTGATCTCTTTATAAAGATTAAGTCCTAGGGGAAAAGAAGAAAATGTCCCTCTTCCTGGTTCTCCTTCTGAACTCATTCTTCTTGGACAGTTCTACCCTCTTCCATTTATTCCTTCTGTTGTCAAATAGGTACCTTCTTACAGAAGTTAAAACCCTCTGCCCACCGCAGCTCCAAGCCAAGGGCCTTAATTCAGGCTTAAAGCTCCAAAACACTTGCATCCTTCTTGTCATTATTCCTCTGTCTACTCATTTTCATATCTCTAGCATTCAAAAGACAGTACCTAACACATACCTGTGGTGGACTAAATCCTTATAATCACATAGTGCTCTAAGGTTTTCAAGGGATTTTAAATACATTATCTCACTCTTCTCCAAACACCCCTGTGATGTTGCCATGGTAGGTGGTTTTTGTATTACTTTATGGAAGAAGAGATTTAGAGACATTGAAATGACTTGGCAATATTTGAAACACAGGCATGGCTACATGGAACAGACTGACAGCTGGCAGAGGAGGGTGGGGGGACTGGATGAAAGAAGTAGCCAAAGGACATATGCATAACCCACAGACACAGACAAGTGTGCTGATGGCCAGAGGAGGAGGGGTTGAGAGAAGGGGGGAGGGAGGAGGAATGGAGACATCTGCAAGATGTCAACAATGAAAATAAAGAAAAAAAGATTAACAAAATAAAAAGAAATAACTTGGCAACATCAAAGCTGTTCAAGTGAGAGAGCCAGAACAACTCTGGTCTTTCAGCCTCTAAGTCTCATTCCCTTTTGGTATGTTGAATACATGAATACTCAGGAACATGGAGATTTTTCTGCTTAGAAAACAGAAAAATCTAATGGGATGTTAAGAATGTAAAGTCAGTCACAAACCATAAATTAAATTGTCATTTTAGATTAAATTGAATAATCAGCGGAGTGGAAGAGCTTACCTATTAATTTCATGTTATCAGCACAAAAATTGGCAAACTTGTTTAAACACAGCAACAACTCATTTCTTACTTGAGAACACACCCAAGAGCCAAGAATAAAAAATAAAATTTTGTATATCTCAAATGTGGCTTAGTCTGTAGTTCAATGTACCCCTATTCAAAGCTCCTGATCTCAAAGCCTATTTCCTCTTTGTTTAGATACATTTCCTGGAACACTTCACGGCAGGCGAGTAGTGGGTGCTCAGTTAAGTATTTGCTCTGGGAATTGTTCTGCGTGCAGAATTAGTGCTATCCACATGCTAAAATGGTTTGGATGTTGACAGCTTGATTTAGCGAGTTCCTACCGCTGAACTCAGCTACCCTGTAGCCAAGGGTTAGTAAATGGAAAAGAACCACAATTCATTGACCAGCTGTGGCTCGGTTGTGGCTTTAGTAAGCTAATCTTGTGGTCATTTTGCAGCAGGTAGCTCACAAAACAGTTGGACAGCTATGTTGGTGCTCATCCTTGGGTTGAAAAATCCAAGGAAAAATACCCTTCTTGGGCTTGTCTGTGGTGCTGTTTTATGACTGAGTTCCATTTCACCCCTCTAAGCTAGGAGACAGGAGGGCAGTTAAGGCATCAAAGAATGGTCGAATTTAACCTTTGAGATAAAACTTACATATCTGGTGGGATTTTATGACAGGTATTTGGGATTTTGTGAAGCCAATGTTGATGTATGTAATATGAAGACCCATACCTTCAAAGTGCTTCAAGCATGTCAGCTTTTTAGTCTATCAAACAATATATTCTTGATAGCGAATACTAAAATTAAAACGGTGTAACAGAAAGGCTTTAGACTTAATAGGCCTGCAACCCCGGCCTGCCTTCTCCTCTGTGAGAGTGGTCATGCTACCACTCCCACCCACCAGCACCGCCCCCCCGCCCCCGCCACACCCTGGCAGTGTTGTAAGGAGCAGTAAGATCAAATGCGGGCACAGTGCGTTACAGGCACCTAATGGAGACATCCTCATTCAGGACCACGATACTGGGTGCTCAGAAAACCTTGTTTGGGCATTTTTGATAACTTCAAAGACCTTTAAGATGTGTTCTAGTACTAAACTCAGACTTCTTTGCAGGAGAATGAAGAGGTCAAATAGTCTGTGATAGTTAAGGTTATTCAAAATATAAAGACATGGAGGATTCATAGAAGATTTGTTTTAATGGGCAGGATACTGCCAATGCCAACAATATGAGTCCTGCTGCAATCTAGTTCAAACAAT